GACGCGAGCCACTTCAGACGCGACCACTTTCTCAGCCTGGAGCTTCGCTTCATTGACCGTTTGCAGGTTGCTGATCAGATCCTGATTCTCCACTTTCAGCTCTTCGATCTTGTCAGTCAGCGTCTTCACGCCTTCTTCCAATTGCTCGGCGCGTCTTTTTTCGACCTGCCACTTCTCCTCAGCTGACTTTCGCCGAGCAATCGCAGCGTCACGCTCTTCCACGGCTCTCTGCCCAGCGGACTGAGCATTACGAAGCTTCGTTGCAGCAGCTCGAATCGTTCGATGATATCGACCCCGTGCGCGGTTGCAGCTCGCGATAAACTGATAAAACTTAAATCAGATTGAGATCGAAGCAGAGGTAAAACTTGAGCCAGAAATATGAAACAAAGTTCACAACATACCTTGAAGGCGTAGCCCGCCATGTCTTTGAAGACCGCGTCATCAGCGGCGGGAACCTCGGAGGTAGATCCCTTTATCAATCCGAAGAGCTCGGCGCATTTGTCAGCATTGTTGACAAGGGGCACCCCGGACTCGGGGTAATCAAACTTGAAGCTCCAATCGATCTCCGGAGCCCTACCGTCGCCAGTGGAATCAACCTTCGACCTCTTTCCCGGCTCCTCGCGATCACCACCTGCAACCACCTCGCCGGAGGTTCTCTTCCTTGATCCCTCCTTTTTCTTCTTCTCTTTTCTCTTTAGCTTCTTCGCCTCCTTCTTAGCTCGCCTCGCAGTTTCATCAGGCCCCTCGGCAACTGCCTGACCTTCCTTTTGAGCCTCCGCCTCAGGCTCAACCGTTTGGGCGCGATCCACAACGAGATCACTGTCTCGACGAGCCTCGACCTCGTTGACAATTTGAGGTGCCGTCGCTTGAGTCGGACGATCTGACTGAGCGGGAGATTCCCGACTTTTATTCCCCCCACTACTGCGATTGGCCCTGAGCCTCGCAGCAAGACTAGGCGCGTTCACTTGAATCGGAGACATCGCGATCGCTCTCTCCCTTAATTGGTTTTCCCTCCTCCAGCTAGCTGTAACAAACCAATATGTTAAACGACGTAAATCAAAAAATTCTGAAGACATCGAATTTACCGTTCGTAATACGGGTAATGGCAGCCTCGACTCTTCGGCGATGGATGTCAGGCCAGTGTTGAATCCCGATTGCTCTGATCTTCTGGATGTTCTCGTGGAAGTTCTCCGGGAAAGCTCCGAGCTGAACTTTGCGATCTGCAAAAGACGAAAACACATTAATAAGAGATAAGGAAAGACTTGAGACACGACCAGACTAGCGATCTACCGATGCTGTCGCTCCACTCGTTCCTAAAATTCCTGGAGGTGTCGACAACCAGCGTCTCATCCACCTTCGCAAAAAAGAAGGACGCCTCCCAACTCGGCGTCCTGTTGACAGGGTAGACTAAAGAGCAATCCTTCCTTGCTTTTATTGTGTACGTCCCCGGGATCGAATTGTTCTTTTGGACATTGGTCATCTCTTCGAAGAAACGCCAATCGACATTGACCCCAGCCTCGCTCCCAAATAGCAGAGCCGCGACCATAAATCAAATTCCCGCAGGGAGAATTTGCGAGAACGCAATGCCTCGACGATCTACATAATCTGTCAGCAGCCTCGGAAGAGGCACCCAGAGGTGACAAAGGCTGAACCACGCCTCGTAGAGCGTGACCCAACCTTCTGGAGCACACCACGGTCGATCTTCAGGTCCCGGCGCCATCAGCTCGCCTCGAAAGCCGTATCGAAGCTGAAATTCCTCGAGGCGTTGAGCCGTCATCTGAGACGGAATGTCAACTAGTTGATTTTTGATAGCTCCCTTGCGTTTGGAGCCCTTCCGTCGATGTCTGACTTCCTCAACTTGTTCTCCCCCATCTCCCTGCCCATTTTCTTCCTCCCCCCCTTCGTCGACCTCGTCCTCGACATGCTCTGAAGCCTCCCCATCACGTCGATCCTCCTCGAAGGGAACTATCCGAAGGTCCGTTTCACCTCGCGGAGACGCCCCTTCAGAGCGGACTCGATCCACTAAATCCGCAGATGGAGACTGTTCTCGATCCGACTGAGTATCGGACCTCGAGGATATTTCAGGAGAAGAGCTCGCACTCTCGGAAGACTCCCTATCAGATCTAGAGCCAGATTCTAAGCTCGACTCGATACGCTGACCCCCCAAAGTCATCACTCAACGACGAATAACAATAAAAAGTTCGCCATAAACGGAAAAGCCACGCCGAAAGAGAACAAATCCAAGAGAGAGAAAAATTCTAGAGAGAAGAAAGAGCAAGATTACCTTTTGTAAGCGGAGAAGAAAATGAGAAGAAGAGAAGGAGAGCAGAATATATAAGTGAGAAAAGTGGCGGTTACCGAGAAAAGTAATGATGATCCGGACGCTTCCCAGTATCTTATTTGGATACGGTTTCCACGCGCTTCCACTCGCGACTCCTCGTTACCTAAGTCGACCGTTGCTTTTTGCGACTCATCGCTTCCCGAGAATCACGCTTCCATTCGCGACTCTTAATTACCTAAGACAGCCGTTGGCCATTTGCAACTCCTCATTCCCCGAAGTATCACCTCGACCCCGAAGATTCCGCATCGATGTCGAAACCCAAAGGGACGAAATTTATCCACCTCGACGCGTTGAATATCGAAGTAACATCTCCATCAACGGACTGGGGGGGACAATTGTTGTAGGTGGGCTGAGCATAGCCCCCTTTTTGTAATTTCGTTCAGGCCCATTAACGAAGTGAAAGCCCAATAGGATCAACAAGCCCGTGTGCGAAGAGTAAAACGAGGTCGTTCAAATAGGTAACCTTTTTGTATCTAAGGAGCAGCTCGCCACCTCCTCGTGGATGGGACAGCTCGCCACGTCGACATGGATGAAGCAGCTCGCCACCACGACGCTCCGATAGACGGTCGGTCAGGTCTATCTGCCCGGCCGCCCAAGCTACTCTGACCGAGATGTAACCTAATTTAAACACTATAAATAGCCCTGTAACTTCATTTATTACGGGATCCGTAATCTGAAACAAGGACAAGAATACTCTAGACTTATAATCAAATTCTTACCTCGCAAGCTAACATCGCTTAATTTACCTCGTCCAAACAACCTCGAAACAAACACCTCGAGATCACCTCTATTTAATCAAGAATCTCCGAGCTCCACCTAGACAAATTAACTGAAGTAACCTCGTGTGCGGATATAATACGACAAGACGGACTGAAGCCAACACAAATACGCTTGGGTTGTGGACTTGTGGTCAGGGTATTATTTTGAGAATAACTATCATTTGATGACAATACATCTGGTGGCAATGAACAGAGAGAACAATTGCCGCTCGCACAACCATATATCTCTTGTAGCATGATGAAATCTGGATGCCACCCAAACTATAAATAGTGCCAGTATCAAGAGCGGAGAAAAAAAAATTGAAAACAGCGAATTCCACAAGGTGTTGATTTGGAATTTTTGATTTCTCATTATTAATTACCTAAAACTATGGAAGAAAAAAAAATCTGAAAAATTAAGAGAAAAGAAAAGGCTAACCGATGCTGGTGAAGCCGGAAACGAACAGAAAACAGGAAAGTTGTTTTGTTTGTGAAAGTCGTCGTCTTTAGAGAGAGACGAAAAAAAGATTACAAATATAACTGAAGTGCTAAAACAGTTATACGTGAAAATCTACAATACAAAGAGCTATGATCAAATTGGAATTGTGATGTAAAAAATAAAAATTTAAATATATATCAGAATAAACCTATTTATTTACAACTTAAACTTATCGAATAATGTATAATTGTGAACGTACTCCAATTATGTGAGTTTTGTATATTTGATTTTGCTAAATATGTATTTTAATAATTACATAGTGGTTGTAGACAGAGACGAATCTGAGAATTTTGGACTTTCCAACAACAACAAAAATTGACCATTTAAATAAATATGAATCCACCTTTGCCCAAAAAGAAATCCACCAAATAGGGAGCCTTCTCACTCGTAGGAAATTTGGAATGCTGTTTGTCTCGGCTAAGTCTCAAGCCTTTCGTTCGTTCTTTTTTTTTTTGGTAACATTTTTCGTTCGTTCTTTTTATTCAATTACTGATTCTTTGGTTGTAGATATAATTTCTTTACTCATCGATCAATTTCACATTTCTAGAAAAAATATATTTACCAAAAAACACTAAATAACTTGAGCCGTCTTCTGCATTATTATACAAACTATTACATAATAGGCAATAGAGTTAATGGATTGTGTGCCTAAGATATTGAGGAATAATCTCGCGTATTCTTTCCGCATTATAAAAATTCTCAAATCTTTTCCTCATAATATTTAATTTGTTTTCGATTTATTTTAAAGTAAGAAAAAATGAAAAAATCGGTCAAATACTGGCAGATCCTTACTAAAGTTTCATATTTACTAACTCAACCACGAAAATTCATACTCAATCTGTGATATCGGGTTGAATCCGAAAAAATCGGGTTTAGGATCAAAATTGTGGTAAGTCTGAGAAATAAAAATTCAAATTTCGAAATCATCCTCTCGTCGTCGTCTTCGCCTATTATTCTCTGGGACAACTACGAGTGATTTGCTGATGCCTGTCTTGAATCAACGCCTCGCTAAATCAGGTTCGTTCGTCTTCGTCCTCTGATTTCTAATTTCTATCTAGATTACTTTGTAGATTTCAACTCGGTTTTGTGTAGAATCCAAAATTCGATTTATATGTTCTCTATTCGGTTGGCAATTACAAAATAGGAGTCATGGATTTAGGCAACGAAAGAGTGATTAGATATGCTAGACCAGAACTGTACTCAGATTCCGAATCGTCGCAGGAGAAAATTGTAGAAGGAGTTGTCGAATCAGAGAGGGGTAATAATCAGATAGTGTTGTGGAGGGGAACTGAGGTTGAGGCTGAGGAGGAGGAGAACCAGCCATTGCCACCCGTGAGATTGTTCTTCGAGCCTAGTCAGTATCATAATGCAATAAAGCTGGGAACAAGATGTTATATCCACAAAGCTGCTGCGAAATTGGAGTCCCTAGACCTTGAACCCTATGAGCTGTTATGGTTAACAGAACACCCACAGTTCAAGCACTTTTGCCATATGCATAGGGCCATGCATGAGGACACAACACACAAGATGATGGGAATGTGGTTGCTTCTTCTTCGGACAGCAAACACAAATAAGAAGAGGGAAGCTTGGTTTGTAGTGAATGGCGTACCAATTCGCTATTCCGTTAGAGAGCATGCCATTTTGTGTGGATTAAACTGTCTTCCGTACCCAGAGGACTATGAGAGCATAAGAAGTTCATCGTTTAAGAATAGATATTTTCAGGAAACCGTCTCCTCCCTTGCTGCTGTTGAGAAAAAGCTAGAGTCGATGCGAAGACTAGTTAATCCTGATCGGTTGAAGATGTGTGTCGTCTACTTCTTATCCTCTAGAATTAGTGGGAAAATGAAAACCGGTAAGGGAGCACCATCTGTTGACCCCTTATTCCTGAGGATTGTGGATGATCTCGAGACTTGTAAAAGGTTTCTTTGGGGTAGGTATTCATTCGATGTAAATATGAAGGAGATTGAGCACACAATGAGGCATTTCAATGGGATCGTCGGAACAGATGCCTGGACATTTTCAAGCTTTGTTACTCCCTTGGAGGTATGTCACATTATAAAGAATTTGTAACTATGTAATACTATGAGCGTAAGTGTAAATTGTTGGGTTTATGTGTAGTTGCTAGCCTTTGAGGCCATCCCATGTCTGAAGAACAAATACAGAGAAGATGTTAGAGGAGCAGGGAGGGATTGTCCCCGGATGTGCAGGCAGAAGTTCCAACCATTCACCCTAAAAGGTTTCCCTTTGTCGGAACTCTATGAAACACTGGGTAACACTAGGGTCATCGAGACTATATTGCAACCATCTGAGGATGAGGTAATTATGCTTGCTGGAGTCATGGAGAGGAATGAAGAGGAAGATATTGGTGATATCGTTCCTGAAAATTGGATGAGGCGTTTAGTTGAGGAAAAGAAGCCGATATTCTGGAAAGAGATATGCAAGATCGATGTTGATGCCCGAGATAATAAGGAGTGGGTAAACCATCCTGCAGCGGCTAAGAATAATGTGGAGACGGAGAAGGTGGCGCCTCTTGGATTTGTGGAACAGCTTCAGAGCTTGCAGAAGAGTATGGACGCTCAGTTTCTCCGAATCAGTGCCCGAATGGATGGCTTTCATACAAGACTCTGCTCTGTAGAACAATATGTAAAAGAGAAAAGAAAAGAAAGGGAAGGGCCAGGAGATGAGGGAGGAGAAGTTTTTCAAAATTATTTAGAACATGAACATGATCAAGCTGGAGAGAAACTTGAAAGTCTGGTGAAAACTGAGAAAGCGAGGAAGCAGAAACAGTCGAAGAAAAACAGCCGAAGCAGAAGCCGAAGAAGAAGCAGTAGGAGCCGGAGCAGAAGGAAGTGGAGCAGAAGGAAGCGGAGCAGAAGGAGGCGGAGCAGAAGGAGGCGGAGCAGAAGGAGGCAGAGCAGAAAGAGGCGGAGCAGAAAGAGCCGGAGCAGAAAGAGCCGGAGATGAATGAGGCGGAGCTGAAAGAGGCGGAGCAGTTTGTAGCCCGATCTCCGTACCTGCTTAGAAGTAAAGAGGTATTGAAGTTTGAAGAGTAATATCCATGGTTTTGGTAATACTTAATATTTCGTGGTAACACTATGTTGTATTACTTGGTATGTGTAAGTAGAACCAGACGGTGCTGACATTGTGAACGCAGAAGTGGGTGCAGGTAAACGGAAACAAGAGCAATCAAAGCTAGAGCCAAACACAAGGCAGAGACGTTAAATCTCCTATGACATTTGATATATGTATTTGTATTTGGATTAAACTGAATTAGGGTTTGTACTTCTATTTCTATTATTGATTTTCGATTGAAAACCAAATATTGGGAAAACTTTGTATTATTGGTGAAACCACATATAAATGGTATAACCTAGTATTATTAGGTGTAACCATCTTAGTATTATTTGGTGTAACCACTTATATATGTGGAATACTAGGCCTAAACAGTTCAAGTTAAAATTATTAGAATAATGTTTGTACACAACATAAGGGAGTACTAAACATTACGAAATGTGCACATACGGAATCCAGAACATAAGAAAGTACAAAAAACAAAAAACATAAGAAAGAAAACATCAGACACATTCACCAGTCTCCCATATCAGGAAAAACCCTAACTACCTGGTACACATATAAGAAGAACCTTCCGCATTCGCGAGTTAAGAAGCAGTAGTCGCAGATGTTCCCTGGTTTATACTCATCATTCCACCAACGCTCCCATCGGTTAACTGTACCACACGCACAGTGGATAAGAGTATTGAGGCGCGGTAAAAAGCGACGGTGGCCTTCATTGAATATCTCTGGCAATCCCATTGGCCAACCAAGATATACTTCTTCAACGAGGTCGCGAGTGCACTTCCTTATTGTTTCCCGGCTTAGTTTGTTGAGGTACTCATCACCCTCGGGATGTTCCATAACAAGTTTCATGAACATCCCGTATGACATTTAATGCACGCGTGTACCCTCTATCCGCCGCTTCCTTGATCAGTAGAATCCCTCCAAAATCTTTTCGACGAAAAAAAAGTTGCATACTTCACATGAAATCATGCCTGGATTTCGTGCATCATAGAACTCTCTGAAGACATTGATGATGAGATGGACATCTTGATCCTCTGGATGACCCATATTAAAGGGATCCACTTCAGCGTAGAAGCCAGGGCCTCTGGTGCAGCCGTTGAACCTATGACAAATCGAGTGAATCCGTATAAGGTCACCAATTGTGTTAGCCGACTTCGCTATAATCTTTTCCAGTAGTTCGTCTGGTAGGGCTAGTAGGTAGGAGTACTCTGCCACGGATTTATATATGAAAGTGGTCGAGGCCGAGTTTTGTGAAAGTTGAAACCCTAAGAGAAAATGATGGATTTTGTAATATAAAAGAAAATCTGAGAGAAACCCTAAGAGGGAGGAGGAAGGAAAAAGTGATGGATTTGGGAAAGTAATGAAGAAGTAGAATGGATTTCGAAACTTCTTTGCGAACTTAAATAATAGAAAATGGAGGAAGTGAGAGGAAGTGAGTAGTCACATCGAATAAACGCGGCCGTATGAGAGAGAGGAATATCGGAATAATTGCTACTCTCGTTGATGCGTTATTGAAAATATACAGTAAAAACTCTATCCTCTAAATTAATAACATTAGGACTCTTATATTTTAGAGAGAGATATTAATTTATAAAGAAATTAATTGAACCAAAACATAAATATGGGACCAAAGAAATTTATTAATTAATCGAGTTTATTAATTTATAGAGTTTCTACAGATTGATTTTTACTCATATACTGCGATATTCGAACATTATGTGTGGATTACTAAAATGTTGGCATGTTATATATCATCAAGTTATCGTCAAATTCTCTTATTAAAATTTTAAACCAACCATAAATAATTTCTCCAAATATAAATTATCAAATTACCATAAATATCAAGGTTCTTAGGAAAAAAAATAGAAGATTACATATATGAATTGTTCAAAAAAAAAACAAAAATAGGCTTCATTTGAATTTTGATGACATTCCAGACCTCTTCTTCTTTATCTTCTTCATCTCTCCCTTCGAACAGAAACGTAGAAAATCTCATTTATGTTTAAAAATCATATAGCCTAAATTTGTACTCAATATTATTACTTAATCATAAGTTATGTCTACAATTAAAAACAAAACAATATCAACTGATTATTTTCCAGTCATATAGATTTCAACTTATTTTAGATTTGTCATAACCAAAGAAATGACTAATTACTTACCCCTTCAGATGTGTCCATGTTTTGAATTTCTCTCTCCACGAATCTGCAATGCATGCACTTCAATTCTATCTCCAGATCCAGAATCAATTCGTGTTCCGGTTTTGTACAACGTGTGTGGGGAGGTTTATCGACTGAGATGTCTTTGCCTTTCTCCTCAAGAAAAAAAAAATATAGAAATTTTCACTCATGATCAGAACATATTTTATAAACCATTAAACAGAGAGAATATATTACCTTTGGAAGATTTTGCTTGAATTGTTCCCACAGCTCTGCTTGCTCGATCTCAGAATCAGTTGGCGAAGGTGGCGACTTAGGTTCCACCACACCAAATCTCATGTTCAAAGGTGGTGGGTTGATGATTAGCAGACCATTCTCATCATATTTTTTTCCATCTGATTTCTCCATTTTGTTTATGTATTGTTAGAAACGATGAGACTACTTGAAGAATTCTAGAAGTACAATATCTCAAGTGTCTTTTTATAGAGTAGACAATAATATTCAGTTTTTACGAATTTCAAGTTTTGTGGGGAAGACTACTAATATTTTTAGTGTATAGACATTGTTCCCAGGATGATATTTGTCTACTCAGCATTTACTCACGTGAAATGATTTATTTATTGTATAGACGCGTTGTATGGACGAAAAACAAGGAAAGAGGGAACGACGCATTTATTTATCTCTGTAAAAGTAAATAAATAAATATATAATAATAACTGTCTAAAAGATAATCACGCCGCGTGTTTAATCGTTGCATTAGTGTTGGTAGTTGTACCAGTCTTACGGCTGTTAATGCTTTCACTAACTGCCGTAAGACTGGTACAACTACCAACACTGTATTTGATTTTTACCAATACATTAAGTAAATAAATATTTTTGGGTTTATTAGGGGAGAGAAAGATGTGACTTTTAACTGCTCCGCACGATAAAGCTGAACGGTTTTGAAGGGTATTTATTATATGACTTGCACCCTAGGGTTTTCCTTTCTCTTTCCATAAATATAACTCGGTCTCTCTCTCTCACTCATATCTATCTTCTAAATCCTTTTCTCTCTATTTAGTGCTATCGTTGCTCTTTTTATCACTTCAAAATGGCCCCTAAGGCGTGGATCATGACTCATCTGAGGGAGTTGGTGAGGTTTCCGGCGAGTGGGTTCAGTACAGGGCCGGTGGTGGAAGACATTTACGAATGGCAAGCAACGCTGTTGGGCCCCCCTAGTAATCCATACGAAGGGGGCATCTTCTTCATCTCCATCCATTTCCCACCGGCTTACCCCTTCAAGCCACCAATGGTGTCGTGGAAGACGCCGATTCTACACTCCAACACCGACAAACCCCGCGTCTTCCATCCGCTACTCGTTACCGCTACCTGGAAGGTTGGAACGACGGTGAAGGAACTCCTCCAAGCGCACCATGACATGCTGCTTTACCCTAAGGTCGAGGAAGAGGACAACTACTTCGCAGACATCGCACGCATGTGCGTCTTGGAACCGGAGCGGTTCAAGAAGGAGGCCCGCCTGATGACCGAGGCACACACCATGAATTAATTCATGGTGTTTTTCACAATAAAATAATAAATTTTATGTTTTACTATTTTCCGTTGTAAAACATTTTATTATTTAAAAATTATGACTCTAATATATTTACTTACAAAAAAATATTATTAAAATTTCTTGTGTTATTCTATCAACTATATTATCTCAGTTGATACATAAGGAATCCCTAATAAGGAAACCCTAATACTCAGTATCAATTGGTGTAACCACATGTATTTCCGAAAATCGAAATATATAATACTCGATATCGTTTGGTGTAACCACATGTATTTCTGAAAATCGAAATATGTAATATTCGGTATCATTTGGTGTAACCACATGTTTATCGGATAATTGAAAATTTGTAATACTCGGTATCATTTGGTGTAACCACATGTATTTTTGAAAATCGAAAATATGTAATACTCGGTATCGTTTGGTGTAACCACATGTTTATCGGATAATCAAAAATATGTAATACTCGGTATCATTTGGTATAACCACATGTTTATCGGATAATCGAAAATATGTAATACTCGGTATCATTTGGTGTAACCACATGTAATCCCGAAAATCGAAAATATGTAATACTCAGTATCATTTGGTGTAACCACAAGTTTTTTCGGAAAATTGAGTAAGTCTTGAGTACAACCATGAATCGTAACTACTTGAACAGGTAGATAGTTAAAGAAACTATACTTCCTTAAATAGATAGAACAACCATGTCCTTAACTTCCTTAAATATCTTACTTCGTCGCGTCTGTTCCAGTTCCCTATCCATTTTGTTCAAAACCAAGTCACACACCATCTCATAAAGGAGAGCATGAGACCTCCTTGCCTTAACCATTTCCTCCTTCAGGTTGTTTACCGATTCCTGTAGCTGGGAAATCTCCGTCGAGTGAATCCGGTCCATGGTTCTAGTCCAACCACTCCGGCCTTGCATCTCGGTCAAATCATGCCGAACATCTGCAATCTCTTCTAGCATCGCCTCATCACACCACTTGAAGAGATGACATCTGGGATTCTACAAGACATAAACCGTATAAATATTTTTGGTACAAAATTAAAAGCAATCAACAGCTGAACTTACGTATTCCTTATTGCAAGCGAAAAATCTTCTTCCCGGATCCAAAACGGTGTGGGAAGATTTGCTGAATGGTTTACGATGACAATAACAGAATCGCAGGATTCGAGAATCTTCGTACAATTCGGGTGGAGGGCTCCCGCTTGAAATCTCCGAGTTGGACGACGAGCCGAGACTTGGCATTCTTGCAAGAAATTGTTATTTTGCAAAAAAAACTGAGTGTTTTGTGTGTTGGTTGTGATTTGTACGTAAACCCAGATATTTTAATGAATTTTGATGTTGGGGAGAAACTCAAATTTGGAAATGTCTGTTTTGGGGGGAGGGGGAAACTCAAAATTGGAAATGTATGTTTTGGGGGAAAAAAATAAATTTGAGTTTCGTGGATAAACCCGGGAAATAATAAATAATTGTAATGGGGTCTATTTGTTCCACCCAATAAGACATGTGTTCAAGTAAAAACACATGTCGTTTATTGTAACTGAGAATTTAAAACGTAGTTGTGCTTTGTTTTCCAGTTATACACATCATCCACATAGTGTTACTTTTGGTGGATATACCGTATTCGCGGTAATACTGAAATGTCAAGAATATATTCTGGTAATACGTTTCATAATTGGTTATAAAAGCAAATTATCAACTTATTCATAAAACAAAATTCGAGAAAAAAATTGATACGTATTCTTTTCATCATTGATGTCCTAAGCTTGATAATGTGACTAGAAGGAGATTGACACTTAAGTGTCGGGTGTGGTGAGATCCGTATTATTTCTTCATTATTTTTAGTAGTTTAAAACACTGTTTACTAGTCCCTGATAAGTGTTAGCATGAAAACGACCATATTTTAAAATACTGATTACTATCGTGGTCGTATTTTGCCATCTCCAAATTATGAAATCGGTTTAAATTGGTCTATTGGTGGTTAAGGGTTGGTTAACTTCTTCAAAACGACGTCACCTGGAAACGGGTCTCTTTTAATCTTATTTTCTATTATTATAATAATATTCTACATGACACATGATCACCTTTCTCTTCTTCCGACGAACATTTCATCATGTTTTTAACTTTTACACGACATTCTCTGACCTAAAAGTACTACTTTCACTTTTCTTTTTCACAACTTTTTCGCTCTTGCTTCTTGGCTTGTTCACAACTATTTGTGGTCGACAGAACAACAAATGACCGTACTAAACATTATAACTAGAGCGTAGTTATACCAAGTTTTCTTGACCAAAACTAGAGTGTTTATATTAACTGGGTTTGCTGAACGTCATTGGACTGATAATTCTAGTTATACTCATCATCCACGTAGTTGTCCATCTTATGTTTTACAGTATTATAAGTAATACTGATAACACCGTATTTTGACCACTTTTATGGATCATAATTATGTCTTATGCAGGTGTTTTAACTCTGTTTTCAATGTTTTTAAATTATTTTCAATGTTTTAGAGTTTCAAAAGACTTTACAGGAAACTTGGACAAAAGATATGCAATTTGGAACAAATGAACAATTTTGGATAAATGCAGACCGCCAGAAGTATGGCAAGCAATGAAGATCTTCTCACCGTCTGATCACCCCCAAAATTTGAGACAACATAAAGGATCTAACCAGCTTTCTAATTCACTTGGTTTGGAGACAATCCAACGGTTAGATCTTCAGATACTCCCGATCCAAGAAAGACAGAAAATGCAGTTCCGAAAGAGAGCCATGTGCCGAGACCGCGGCCAACACCTATTTTCCCGCGGGTAGAGCCACCGCGACCGCGGAACTTGGTCGTTCAGTTTCCAGACAACTTAATTAAAGCCCAGATCAATTCCTTTCGTTATTTTTGAAGCCCTAAGTGTCCAGGACAACTCCAAAAGCTATAAATATCCTCTTTAGGTCATTCTAAAGAGGGGAGACCAAGAGAGACCGAAACTAATAGACAAAGGAGAGAGAGAGAGAGAGAGAGTTCGTGTGGAACCCTAGCGAGGAGGCCGCCGTTTTAAGGAGAAGGAGCCGCCGCTGGAGAGCATCATCGCGCCTCCGTCGTCGCCTCTGTTCTTCGTTTTTCTTCCCTGTTTTCTTTAATTTCCTGCACTTTCAATTTCGTTTATGATGCTTTGTTATAATATGTTTGAGTAGTTACCCAGTTGGGTTTAAAGGGATTTTTCAAAGGGAATTTCGTGTGTCTTTGCTTATGAATCGATAGATTTAGGATTTATAATCTTCTAGATGTTCTTCGTTTGCCTTTAATCTTACTGCGTGATTCTTTGCTGGCCACTTAGAAGCCGATCTGATATGATATGTTGCGAAAGCTTTCATTGATTGTCTGAACTAGGGTGAAACGAGCAATTATTCTATAGGAGTGGAAACCTACCTGTAGTTGAGTTGTGAATGTTGATGAGTCTTGTTCTGTTATTGCATCTTCTCCGTTCCAGGATCAGAGTGGAAACCTACTGATCAGGGTTGCGAGAGATAGTTGTTTAGTGCTGCGAAATTAGGCTATTCATACTTTCGTGCCTCGAGTTCTAGAACATACATAGTTGATTACCTTTATCACTTGTTTAAAATCGACATAGCTTAGACCATGAATCCCTGTGAAACCCCTGTGAAACCCCTGTGAAACCCCTGTGAAACCCCTTGAGCCCCAACGTTTGTCTTTAATTGTTTACAACCTTTGATTTATTTGCTTTTTATTCGCTTGTTCTTTGCTTCCATTCGCCTCTTGTTTAGTCGCTTACTACTTGCTTTTACTTGCTTTCGTTTTCTTTCAATTGCTTTTTACTTGCTTTCTAGTTTAGATTTAGTGACAACCAAAACCCAAAACCAAAACCCAAATCGTTTAGTTCTAGTCTGATTTAAGCATTGAAGTGAATTCATACTGAAACAACTAAGTCTCCGTGGATCGATATCCTAAGTACTACAGCGCATATCTGTGCACTTGCAGATATTTAGGGGTTATAAACTTAAAACTTGAAGCTTAGTAAAACGAAAACAACTCACCCCGCTTTTGCTCGCAATCAAATACTTATATTAAAATGAAAAACTTTCGGTTATACGCTTCATCATAGGTTATAAAAGCTATAAACAAACGTTCTCGTGTAATGTCTATATCATTTAAAATTTTTAAAACACTACTCCGTAGTTCCTTTAAAATAGTAGCTTGACCACGAACAAATTTGCATAGACTGACTCATTTTGTGGTCAAATTTCGTTAGAGTCACATTATCAAATTCTTTTGGTTTACGGGTGGTTTAATGGGTGGTTTACATCTTACTAAACGACGTTGCTCTGAGACGGGCCCACTATCTGTCCTTAGTTTTTTCTTCTTTATCTCCCTTTTACTTTGTTTTTACTTTTTGAGAATAACTTTTTCCGTTTCCCGAGAAACATTCTCTGACTTTTTGAGAATAACTCATATTATATCCTCTTGATACGATGTACTTTTACTCTTTACATACACGAGAAAGAGAACTTTGAACTTTGAACGAGAAAGAGAACTTTGAACTTTGAACAAAAGACTAGGGAGAGAAAATAATACGTTGTTTTACAAAGTTATACGAGTAATACTTAAATAAAATAAAAACAAATTTTCACTCGGATGGATCAAGTTGGCTACTCTTTCAAGAAGCGATTTCTAATATCCAACAAGAATTTTGCCGCCTCCATTGTCTTTTGGCAAGAATCGCACCAATCAGGGGGGCATGATGTCGTGTCAACTGCATGAGGGAACAAGTTTTACCCTTAACAAAACACATGAAAGCCGCAAGTGCACAGCTGATCAGTTGTAGTATTTAGGGATCGAATCCACAGAGATTTGTGTGCCTGGTATTCTTCTACGGTTTTTAACTTTATGTCTAGACTAAATTGGTTTTAAAGGTTGGTTGTTTTTCTTGCGAATTAAACTAAAGCAAAAGCAAGCAAATAAATCGATCCCAGAAAGCAAGTAAAGAAAATCGAATGAAATGCAAATGGAATAAGTAAAATATCGAACTAAAAAAAAATAAGGCAAGTAAAATATCGCATGAAAAGTAAATAAATCAAGTAAATAACGACTAAGAAAATTGAAATGCAGGTCTAAGAAAGCAAGTAAAAATCGATGGAATTGTAAACTATGGCTAAAAACGCTGAGCTTTTGGGAACTCTAAGGGACATAATCGGTTTAAACACTAAGGTAGATAGATTGGGATTGACGGATAACAATATATGGGTTCTAGAGCTAGAGTACGGCGGTATGACTACGTCACTGTCGTGATCATAACCAACTGTTTCTCGCAACCCTGACCAGTAGGTTTCCACTCTGGCCCTGGAAGGGAGAGAACGCAAGAGCTGCACAAGACTCGTCAATACTCACGATCTCGCCGCAGGTAGGTTTCCACTCCTACGGAAAAATCGCCTGTTTCATTCTAGGGCTGATACTTAATGAAAACTTTCGCAACACTAACTATCTAGATCAGATACTAGGTGATCAATCAAGCATACATGCAATAAGAACAAGAATAAACAGAGAACAGGTCGAAATCCCAGATCTATAAACCTAGATGTCTTAATCGATTATGAGAGCCCCTTTCGGGAACCCTAAGCCCAACTCGGGATCTACTCAGACATGGCTGAGTTCGACATCATCATTGGTTTTAATAAAAGTAATGAATAACAGTAAAGAAAAGAGATAAAGAAAGCTTCTCTGTTGAAGAACTCGGACTTGAACAATCTTCTACAAAAATCTCATAAAAACGGCTAAAGGAAAAGGGTTTCTGTAAAGTATGAATGGCTCCCTCTAAAAACGACCTAAATGACATGTATTTATAGTCTCCAATACTCCATGGTCTCTAGGGTTCCGGAATTGAGGCGGGGAATGACTTTGGGCTTCAGATAAGTGGGCTTTAAGTCGGAGCTTGAATGCCGGGGTCGGGAGTGTTGTGACTGCGGCAATTGGCTTGTTGGCCGCGGTCGGGAGGCTTCTGACCGCGGCAAATAGCTTGTTGGCCGCGGTCGCGTGAGTTGCTGGCCGACTCCGCGTGGCTCCGGGGCTAATGGAATATCTTGAGATCCAACCGTTGGAATATCTCCTAACCAAGTGCATTTGAAAGATGGTTGATTCTTCTATAAGTTGTCCAATTTTGAGGGTGATCAGACGGTGAGAAGGTCTTCGTCTCTCCATGAGAGTTCTGACGGTCTGCATTTATCCAAAATAGTCTTTT